TAGTGATGTCACTTCCCCACTTCCTGTAATGGTGACAACACTGTTCATTCTGTAGCGAAATCACACGGCAGCGTTGTCATCCTGTAGACCTTTTAAATAGGACAGGGATATCAACTTGGGCACTCCACGAACTACAAGTCCCATGAGGTATTGCAATGACTCTGAGAGCCACAGACATAACTGCCAGAGGCGTGATGGGAGTTGTAATTTCAGCACAGTTGGAGTGCTGAGGCTGCTGACCCCTGAAATAGACTTTAATTTGTGTGTCTCCCACTTAAAGCTCAGCGCCAACACATTGAAGCAGAGACGGCAACAAGGTTTTTTTTTTCCTCCTTAGAACTATATAAATCCCCCCCGGGCAGTGTGATATGGTTTGTCCCGACCCCTCTAGGTGTCACTCTTGCTGGACAGCTTGGGCCGCGTGTAGAGGAGATACAAGGCTGTGAAATAATAAAGGAATACACAGAGTGAACGCCATCATTGCAGGTACAGGTGATAACCCCACCCCCCAACTCTTGGAGTCCCACCCCCATGTCACAGATCCTTCACACTGATTGGCTACAAGATCACACTATAGAAAGTTTCCAGTACTCGGGGACCCGACTCAATGTAACAATGTAACTTCCTTCCGATGTTACATTCTGAGTCGTGTGTATGGAGGACATTTCTGTCCCGTCACGTCGCTGCCGGCACTGGTGAAGTTTATCCTCTGGATTCCTCTCAGGGTCGTAAATTGGATGACACTGCAGACATGCGTTCTGCCGGAAACCACGTGCCACTCTAGGACAGGGGGGCGGGCAAACGCAGGCCCTCCAGCTGTTGTGGAACTACAAGTCCCATGAGGCATTGCAAGACTCCGGCAGCCACAGGCAGGACTCCTGGAGACAGATGCATGATGGGAGGGCCGGAGTTCTTTAGGATGTTGCGCCGTCACAGCCGCACGTTTTGGGTGTTTGCGTTGTCTGGACCTTGGACGCGTGTTACGGTGAATTGCGCCGGATGACGCGTTCAGTAACGCGCCCAAAATGTGCAGATGTGACCGCTCGGGTCTTCGGGGGAGGAATCGGCATCACGAGAGATCTGGGAGTCCAAAGGTGAATGGCTCACAGTTGTCATCTTCCTCCTTCTGTGGTGAGTCAGTGACCGGAAACAAAGGCATGGACCTATCAGCAATTCTTCCAGGATAGAGACCAGGTAGTGAAGCCGGGGACCGGCATGACAGCCCATGCGCAATCCTACGCTGACCTTGGGGGGGATTTGTAGTCTTATACTGGCACCATCGTCCCCACACAGAGAGCGGCCTCATTAGGGTTAGGCACAAGGTGTCAGAGCGGCCGTCACCTCACACGACAGCTGCCGCGGATCCGGGTCACTGACGCGTGTCAAGCTTCAGGTCAGCACGCGAACCCGCTAATTCATTTTCCCGCGTCTCCAATACAAAGCTAATAGAATCATATTCCAGTACAGGAATCAAAATGTTTCAGCAGCAGCAACAACACCAACAACAACTGCTGGGGGGGGGGATAAGGGGTCCCCAGAAGAGGCCAAAACATCTCCCAGGACCAGAAAGTTGCAGCTTGGGGACCATTTCCTCTCTATTCCCGAAATATATGAAAGTAGAAACTTCACCTGGAAAGCGCAAATCTGCATCCAGAATGAGATAAACTTTGTATCCCCTGCAAAGGATTCGCCCTTTCAGCATCTGCCGAGATAAATGAACACGGGAGATAAGCCATCCCGGCACAGGCCAGTCAAGATGGCTGAAGATCCTGAACCCAGATGGTGGTGGTGGGGAGGGAGCCCGCAGGCGCCAGTATAGTTCTGCTATAAACCCAACTCCACACAACTTTTCTCTTGAGCGGGAGAGCTATGTTATAAATGTGTTGTAGAGCTGTCCCCCCTCACTTCCTGTTGTCTGTACCTAGGCAGGAAGTGAGGTAAAATATCCCTAAGTACAGAGACACCACAATAAGATCCTGCCCCCCCCCCCCGGGTAGGATTTCACTTCCTGTTCTGAGAGGAAACAGCTGCCGATGGCACACTGGAGACCCCGACCCCCCCTCACCCTAGGCAAAGCTGACCTGCAAGCCGGTAATGCCACAACTCTCCCCCAGGGAGCTCAGCGATGGCTCTCAGGAACCTGCAGAGGCAATGTTGGGGCGTCTGGTGGTCTGAGAGTGGCTGTAGCAGCCCCAGACTCTAGAAATGTGGGCAGCCGAGTACAGAATTGGAAGGTAGGGGGGCATTGTGCAGTCACCACCGGGCCGATGACAATACAAGGGAAGTCCTGTGATTTTGGGGTCTTAGAACACCTCCAATCACAGCTGCGAGGACCGGAAACTGGCAACTACCCCTGCAGACCTTTTTATAGACTTGGGGGTCCTCCAATGCTGTCATGCAGATCCTGACTTCTCTAGCCAGTGAATGACCTGGAGAAAGCAGGTAGCCAGTGAAGCCGAGCAGACAGGACGGCACCTGTGAAATCCCGAGGTAGTGATGAAAGCTCCCCTGTATGTGACCTCAAATGTTCACTATAAATGAGGCTCAGGGTCCCCACCCCCCACTCCGCTGGCCACAACAGGTTGGGAGATGGTCAGCTCTGTACCAGTGCGGCATCGGAGAGAGACCGCGGTTTAGGACACGAGCCCAGTCTGTGGCAGATCACCGGCCAGAATTCTCCTTCAGGACAGAAGAATGCAGCTGAATATCGGCAGGAAGTAGCAGATTGTTCATATAAAACCTAAAATGACCTAAATTTCTCCATTGCGGGACAGAGGAACTCTGCAATAGTTGTGTCATCCTGATGTCCATTCACCTCTTTTGGCGTTCTCCCTCCAGAAGGGGGCGCCTCGGCTCTCTGGGTCAGTCACCGCTTCTCCATTCATAGGACAGTAGACCGTCTTAAAGGAGAACTATGGGGTTAAGGCTTTTCCCCATAGTTCTCCTTAGGGTAACGGGAGGACACAAACTAGCGTCCTCCCATCACCCTAAGCTCAGTATATAGAGAGCTACAGCTCGCGGTATACTGAGACGCCGCAGCCAGAGCGGAGCCCGACATCGATGTTGAGATCCGCCCAGCTGCGTGAGTGACAGCTGGCTCCGCCTATCTAGAGGCAGAGCCAGCTGTACCCGCCCCCTCCGTTCCGCCAGTCAGCGCTGGAGGATCGGAGCGGGGAGTGGGGAATCCAGCTCCTCCCGTCACGGCAGAGACCCGTGACAGGATCGAGAGGTGAGAGAACGCCGGTATGTGTTCGCTCACCTCCCGATCTGCTGAGCCGACCTGTGACAGTCTCATTGTCACAGGTCGGCCAGAACTATGAGGGGAGTGGAAAGCACTCCCCCCCCCTCATAGTTCTCCTTTAAGGATTTGCCCGTGTCCATTGGTGAGCAGCCGTTACCAACACTAGACACCTCGGAGGCCCCGACTGACCAAAGTCTATAAGTGTCAGGCCCTTCCCTAAGACTCCATTAGGGGGGGTGGAGGTTTGGGTCTAAGCAAACCACAATGGAGGAGCCAGGAAACAGCACTTGGTGGACAGAAGGTCTAATGTACCTCCAAGGGGCAGTAAGAGGTCCGGTCCCTGTTGTGGGAGGGAGAGGTGCTGAAAGGTACCAACTTCCACAATGGGTGCAGCAGCAGCAACAACCGCCACCACCGCCACCATCAAACGCTCCTGAAGAGGTGAATGAACTCTGGATAAGATAAGTACCGAGTTCTTGGATCCCTCAATGGACCTGAAGAAACAGACTTCAGAAGAAGTATAAACGTGTTATTTTGTTTCCTGTTAAATGTGAACATTTGATGAGAATGCAGCAGAAAGAAAACACGAAACCCAGCAGGGGACATGAGAGCCGGGTCAGACCTCGTCTATAGCACAAGAGGCATCAAAGGGTGACATCCACTACCTGGTCTGTGACCCAAACCTCAGTTCAGATGGAAGGTTCTGACCTACTCAGCCACGGCACGGTGTGGAGGAGAGGGTCAGCAGCCGCAGAGATGACATGAGAGCCGGAGAGCTGGGACGGGTCAGACCTCGTCTATAGAACAAGAAGGATCTCACTACCTGGTCTGTAACCCAAACCTCAGGTCAGATGGA